GTGTGTGTGTGTGTGTGTTTGGCCCTCCCCCCTTCCCACTGTGCTCTGGGTGGCTGTGGGGCGAAAGCGGAGCGCACGCGCGCGGCCAAACAGGCGGAAAGGAATAAATGCAAACGAAGAAGCAAGGCAAGCAAATGGGGGGGAAGAAAGCCAAAAAAAAAAACAAAGGAAAAGGACGCGGTGATTGAGGCGGGGTTACGCAAGGAAAAAAAAACTGTAGAATGATGAAGAGAAAAGGAGGGGATTGTTGTTGTTGTTGTTTTTGTTTCGATGCTGTGCGGAGGGTGGGCTAGATGAACGACTATTTCCTCCTCCTGCAAGGTTGCCCGCCTTCTCTTCGTGGTTGTATCAACGCGCATATCTGTCTGTCTGTGTGTGTGTGGTGGTGGCGGTGTCAACTGGCGTGGGCACACAAGCAGAGACTTCTGACTGTTACCGACTTCGTTCTTTGAGCGCTCCTCTCTCTCTTGGCTTCCCTCCCGCACTGTGCTTCGGTGACCCCCCGCGCGCGCGCGCGCGCAAAATCAAAATAAAAAAAAAAGAGGAAAGGTAAGCACACATCCTTTTTTTTTTACAGTGGAACCCGGCCATACGTGCGTGTTGCACAAACCCACATCGGACCCGTCTTGTCAGTCATAATCAAACGGGCATACACACACACAGACACAGACACAGGCAGAGAGACACTCTGACAACAACAACAACAACAGTGAAAGCGATTGGGCGAACAAGTATGGTGGTCCTTTCATTTCTGGAGAGCATCAAGGACACGGCCTCGCGCATGCTGCCAACGCCGTACATGGACATCATGGAGGATGCCACGCAGCCGCACCTTGCCCTGCCGAAGTACGACGGCGTCGCGTTCCTCTGCGAGAGCGCCGACACCGGCGAGGATACGGCGGTCGACGTGGTGCGTGCTGTGCGCCGCCGCATCACCGACGACGACCCGAAGGTGAAGTACCTGACGGTGCTCGTCCTCGACGCGCTGATAAAGGGCTGCGGGCGGCCGCTGCATCTGGAGGTCGCCTCGCAGAAGGGGCTGCTGCGTGACCTGCAGAACATCGCCACCCACACCCCATGCATCACGGAGAAGGAGCGCATGGCGAAGGAGGCGGCGCTCGCGCTCATTCTGAACATGTCCATCTGGTTCACCGGACACCCCGACGGGCGGGTGTACATTCTCACCACCATCAGCGATGACGTGCGGCACGCGGTGGGTCCCAATGCCTTTGAAGGCATTAACCCAGACACCAACACGCACGTAAATGTGGCGTCAAGGCGGCATCACCAGCACCACGCCAATTCCCGCTCGCGACACGAATCGCGGCGGCATCGCCAACAACAGAATAACCCACAGCAACCTGTTGTGGACGCCATCGGAATCAACTACCCGACAGAAGAGGAGCTCGCTGCCATGCTTGATTGCTGCATGACGCTGGCGGAGTACCTGAACAACGCCAAGGTGCTGCCGGATGGCTCCATTGAAGTGGACGATGTAATACGGGGATTCCGGGAAAAGATACAGGCAGACCACGGGATGCTGACGGTGATGCTCAGTTCTGATCTGCAACTCCCCAACCGCGATGTGCTCCGCGACATCAGCGACAGCCAGAGCAATCTCGTTCAGCGACTGGAGAACAACGGTCGGGCGGAGGAGCCGCACAACGCCGCCCAGCCCCCCACTACAGACGTTGCCGTGACGGAGGAGTACCGCCCACAAGTGGTAGCAGATGCACCGCAGGCAGAAGCGGGGCAGGCGCATAGGGGGATGAGTCCGCCCTCATCGAAGGTTGAGCCCGAAGCGGTGCTGCAGCAGAGGGAAGCAAGCAAAGCAGCGGAGGCCGCACTTGCGGCAGCCGCGCCGAACGTCATAGAAGACTTGTTTGGGCAGGCACCGGGTACNGATGCACCGCAGGCAGAAGCGGGGCAGGCGCATAGGGGGATGAGTCCGCCCTCATCGAAGGTTGAGCCCGAAGCGGTGCTGCAGCAGAGGGAGGCAAGCAAAGCAGCGGAGGCCGCACTTGCGGCAGCCGCGCCGAACGTCATAGAAGACTTGTTTGGGCAGGCACCGGGTACGGAGGCTTCTGCGCCAATGATTGCCAACGAGAGAGAACTGGAAACGGCTGAGGCCAATGTGGTTTCCGAACCAGTGGACGAGCGCGCGACGGTAGAAGAGCAAAGCGAGCCGCAGCAACAGAAGGAACAACACGAAGAATCTCTGACACAACAGGAAGAGCAGCCATCAGTACAACAACAACAACAACCTGAGCAGTGCTCCACAGGTGAGGATGACTTTGATGCTTTTTTGGAGGGGCGCTTGGCCAAGTAGCACTGTTGTTTCACTCTGAGTGANGAGCCGCAGCAACAGAAGGAACAACACGAAGAATTTCTGACACAACAGGAAGAGCAGCCATCAGTACAACAACAACAACAACCTGAGCAGTGCTCGACAGGTGAGGATGACTTTGATGCTTTTTTGGAGGGGCGCTTGGCCAAGTAGCACTGTTGTTTCACTCTGAGTGAGTATAGCCAAATGGGGGAACCCTTTCTTCGATGTGCACAAACACTGCACGGGTTTTTTTTGTTGGTTCGTCGTGTGTCCCAGGCTTTGCTTCAGATAACGGCTCTTGTACTGGTGCCATATTTCGGGTTGTTGTTTTTTTTTTGTGACACCCGTATTGCCTTTGCCGGTGCGCTGCAGCCAGCATCTCTCTATTCATCTGCACCTGTAAGAAGAAAANGTCGTGTGTCCCAGGCTTTGCTTCAGATAACGGCTCTTGTACTGGTGCCATATTTCGGGTTGTTGTTTTTTTTTTTGTGACACCCGTATTGCCTTTGCCGGTGCGCTGCAGCCAGCATCTCTCTATTCATCTGCACCTGTAAGAAGAAAAATGCCTTGGATTTTGCTCCTCTCCACATCTGAAGAGCTGTTTGGGATATATGTAGTTGGTTGTTTGCGTCTGTGTGTGTGTGTGTGTGTGATGTTGCACCTCACCTGTACCAAAATCATACCCTCTCTGTCTCCTTGCCCTCATAACCTCCTGCATCTTCCCCCTGGTGGCAATTGGCTATCGCCCACCCACGAGAGGAAGAAGCAGCAGTATACAAATATGGCGCCCAGCAGCTTCTCGGAAGTGGCCAACACAGTTGAGCAGTTCGCCACGAAGGGGTTGAACGAGCGTGGCTGGCGTCTGACTACCGTCGAGTACGACATTCCTGCCGACCGCCTCACCGTCCACCCGTTCGCCTCGCCGGACGCCGTGGGCGTGCGACTGTCGTACAAGAAGGGCGAGTTCAGAGTGTCCACAGATGTGGACTCTAATCCGAAGGCTACGTGGCGCAACTACCTCCCTACAATCTCGTGGGCCAAGAATGTGCAGGACATGCGGCACGCCTTCGTGCTACGCATGTCGACCACATCACCCGCCTTCCGCTACGCCCTGTTCCACCCGGACTTCACCTTCACGAGTGGGACACAACTTCTGGACGGCTTCTCCACGCACATCACCGCATCGACGCGGCTGTCGCAGCGGAATCAGGTGGGAGTCAGTGCGGTGTATGACCCGAGTCGCAGTGGCCTTAAGGACTACACCATCGCCGCCTCCCGCGTGGGGTGTGCGTCGGTGTTGGGAGGCGATATCGTTGCGAAATACAATGCCACACACGGCGGGGCCATTCACACCCGCATTCCGGTGAACCCGTATGCAAGTGCGGTGCTCCTGGTGGAGAAAAAGCGTGTCATCGTGGGCGCCGAGGCCCGCTCCCCGTGCGGCGCGCAGATGCTGCTGAACGTAAATCTCGTCGACTCGCGTGCCATGCTGGGCATGTCACGTAACATCAGCGACATATGGAAGATCACCATGACCTGCTCCGCGCCAGCGCCAGGCAGCGGTAGCACCACGGCGCCAAAGTTCGGCCTGGTATTCTCCAGCCAGAACGCCTAGATGCAGCCATGAATGTAAATACGGGCATGGGGATTGTATAAAAGAGTTGGGATTGCGGGGGCAGCGTGGCTGCGGTGTGTGACTTGGCGACGTCACGCTGGTGTGAAGGAAAGTCGTTGCCACCTCCTCTCTCATGCAAACACATACACACGAACTAATAAGAAATAAGCATATTATGGGCCTGCCCTGCCTCAGACTGACACGGATATACCCTGTAGAATGGGAAATACAAAGATACACACGCGGCATCATATACAACAATTTGGAGTGTTGCATGAGGCACACTGGGCTTGTTTTTTTTTCAACACTTCGCTTTATCTGCAACTCTTCATCAACAATAAGCATGTCATAAGGAAACATAGTGGTAATGATGGTCTACGTATTCCGTTGCATCGGCCTTTATGTGCGATTCCACACTTAACAGGACATGGACACATAACAAACGTTTGCATCTCTGAGCGTATATACAATCAAGGGCGCATCATTTCTTTGTATACATATATCTCTTCCTTTTTGTTTGTTTGTTTTTTGGGGGCCATTCTGAGGTCGAATGAGAGCGCGAGGATCGTGCTACTAAACAGGAAGTAATCCTTCTGACGGCAGGTCCGAATACGAAGCGGGTAGTTATGGTGGCATCCGACTTGCTGTCGTCGCGGTCGTTTCCCAAGCACAGAGCCACAGCCGCGGATGCAGCAGAGAGAGTGGACGCCCCTACCGTTAGTGGGGACGACATCATGAGTGAGCTGCAACTCCAGCTGCAGTGTGCAGTGAAAAATAATCGTATTCTGCAAGGGAATATCGATACTCTCAAGGCTGTTGCGCACCAATTGGCTGCGCAGCTGGATTTGGCAAACAGCCAGTTGATGTTGCGTGACGAAATGGCAGAGGCACAAGCACTGCGCGGGGCGGATGGGCAGGGGTCTGATACAGTGGCCCTCACCAAGAGCCAGGAGCCCACCGCAACCACGGTCCCTTCTGCTGCCGCTGCCGACTACGAACGGCGTATCGCCGCCCTCCATGCTGCCCTTCAGGCGAAAGACGAGATGCTTCTAGCCCTTCGCCATGAAATGGCACAGCGGGAGGTCGACGCGGCGGCGCTGCTGCGTGCGGCGGTGCAGGAAAAGAACCGGGAGATCCTCGGGCTTATGGACGAGAGAAACAAATGGCAGCGCATTATCGAGGCAGGGCAACACGCCCAGGTCCGGCAGAAGTGAGTCTGTGCGATATACCTGTACTATCAATACGGAAAAAAACACAACAGCCCTGTACATCATGGCACTCATCTATGAGTGTTAGTGCCTACATGCAAGTGTCTCTACGGTGATCTCCCTTCTCTTCCTTTTCTCTTCACTCACCTCTATCTAAAATTTGAATCGTCCCACAGTTCTTCTCACGTAACCGCATTCAAGACTAACTCGCGATGACCTCCGTGGACTCTGGCGCCAAGGTCCTCCGCATGAAGGAGAGCGACGTGCAGAAGCTGCTGGCCATGCACTGCCACCTCGGCACCAAGAACCGCAGCAATGCCATGAAGAAGTACATCCACAGCCGCACGAAGGACGGCACGAACATCATCGACATCCACATGACGTGGGAGAAGCTGATCCTCGCTGCCCGTGTCCTCGCTGCGGTGGAGAACCCGCAGGACGTCACCGTCTGCTCCACGCGCCTCTTCGGCCAGCGCGCCGTCTTCAAGTTCTCGCAGCTCGTTGGCACGTCGTTCCTCGCCGGCCGCTTCATCCCTGGTACCTTCACCAACCAGATCCAGAAGAAGTTCATGCAGCCGCGCGTGCTGCTCGTCACGGACCCGCGCACCGACCACCAGGCCCTGCGCGAGGCCAGCCTCGTCAACATCCCCGTGATTGCCTTCTGTGACACCGACGCCCCACTCGAGTTCGTCGACATCGCCATCCCGTGCAACAACCGCGGCCGCTACTCCATCAGCATGATGTACTGGCTGCTCGCGCGCGAGGTGCTGCGCCTGCGTGGCACGATCCCGCGCAGCGTGCCGTGGGACGTGAAGGTCGACCTCTTCTTCTACCGCGACCCCGAAGAGGCCCTCAAGCACGAGGAGGCCAACCAGATCGCCGCCCCGGTTGCGGAGGTCGACGAGGGCTTTGGCTGGGTCGAGCGCGACAACGTCTGGGAGCAGTAAGACACAGCAGCAGTAACCGCAGGGTCATCAGCTGTTCACCGTGAGGGACAATAACTCATTTTCGTTTTTTCTCACCTTGGTTGGGGGGCGCCGCGCACTCGACGGATTGACATCTCGACAGTGTCTGCCTCTCACCGTCACGGAATAAAATCTTGTTGGAACGGAGTGGTGTGGGATGGTGGTAGTGGTGGTTTTGTGTGTGCAACGCGGTGAGTGTGTCTGTAAATGAGTGCCTGGGCTTCTTTCTTCCTTCTGGTTCTTTTTTTTTTTGTTTCGCTTTGTTTGCGTCTTGCGCATTCCCGCACAAACGCGGCCAAAGCAGGTTTAGAGAGTGCCGAAGGGAACGCGACACCCCAATAACCCGTGAGGGAGGTTGTGCGAAGGAATTCAAAAATCGTAGTGGCTTTCTTTTCTTCGGTTTCCACAGTCCAGCATTCCCATTGAAACGAGAGAGGCGGGTGAGATTCTTTGGTGTTGCTGTTCGTTCGTTCCGCCACTGTCGTGTAGCTAGCTGTGTGGCTTTTTGGGGCACTTTTGACAGGGAAAGCGGGCGAAATTTTTGGAGCTCGATGCAGTGTGATTGCTGCTACGCGTGCTACGCGGAGATCGCCGACGTCGTTGCCACCACAAGGGGCCTCTACCGTCACCAGAGCAAAGGCGCTGGCCCCGGGCTGCTGCATCGTATCTGGCGCGCCCTTGGCGATCTGCTGGAGGAACAGCTCATCGAAAAGCGTTCCTGCATTGTCCCCGATTTCTTTCATGCCAGCGTGAAGAAGCAGAAGGTGGAGTACTATGATGGCACACATACATTCCACAAACCGCAATTTATTCTGCTACCGGACTTCCTCTCCAAGTACCACCTGCAGAATGTTCTCACAACACGCGATGCGCACTACCACGCCACTGTTCCGAATATCATCAGCTACGCCACAATTGCGGCGCTTGCTGGCACCGATAGATTTGTTGTCGAGGCTGCTGTGTGCGACTCTATCCGCGAGATTGGCAAGTATATTGACCGCAATCCCCTCACGGTGCTTAACATCGATATCGGCGTTGCCAACTTGGAGTTCCGAGGCCGCGAGTACCGCGTTAAGTGGTCCGAGGACTTCTTGGAACGCTTCAGGGCGGCAGTTGGCCCGCAGTCGTTCGTGTCACCATACGACCCGCCGACGATGTCATCCCGCGCGACAGGCTGCCGGTTCCAGACAAACTGCCTGTCAAAGGACGGCCTGCAGGCGTCGCTCTCCGACACGGTGGAGCGGGAGAAGCGGATGGCAGTGGTGGAGATGAACGACTCGAAGGGCGGATCAGGGTTTCGCAAGTCGTTTTGGTGAAGGTGCAGCGCACGTCATGTCGATGTGTCGTTACTATGTAGATTCTGAACAAGAGAGAGAGAGAGAGATAGAGAGTCTGTATGTGTGTGTGTGTGTGTGTTTGTGTGCATGTGGCACATGACAGCTCCCAAGGAGGAAATGACGCTCGGAGGTGATGATGCAATAGTGCCTTGGCGGTAGCTTGTGGTGGATGTGGTATACGTTTTGAAGAATTGTTCATGCTCTTTATCTATCTCACTCTCACTCGCTCTTACATTCCACAATTGGGGGGTGGCCTGAAACGTTAGAGGAAACTCCAGCAGAAAGAGAAGTATATGCGACCTTACCACAGCGGTCCCACACCATTGGGTGAGGGAGGGATTCCGATGCAGTATTATAATCAACAACAACAACAGCATCACCATCACCATCACCATCACCCACAACATCCGCAACAGCCCCAGCAACAACAACAACAGCAGCAGCAGCAGCAGCAGCAACACCATCACCTTCACCATCATCAGTACTTCAACCCACATGCCCAGTACCAGGGCATGGTTGCCCCCAATGGTGCTGCCGTTCCCCCGCCGCCACCACCGCAAGCACAATACTACCCGCCACACGGTGGGGTCATCTCCCCATCTACGTACTACAATCATGGCCACCACATGCAGCACCAGCACCGCCAGCGACAGGGGCCGGGTGTCGGGTACGGCAACGTGGGACGCGCAGGGTATAACGCCCCGTACATGCCGGGTGGTAACTACGACATGGGCAGCTACACCGCGCCACAGCAGCCGTATTACCGTGACAGCTACCGTGGGGGCCGTGGTCGCGGCGGTGGGCGGGGCGGAGGTCACGTCCCCGGAAGTGAGAGCCGTGAGTCATACTTCGCTGTGCACCTCAAAGACTTCGCCGAGTTGGAGGAGGCAGGGCGGCGTGACTCCATCCGCGAGTCACTGGACTCGACTGTGCTTGGGAAGATGAATCGTCGCGCGTCATCTGGGACGCTGAAGGTGCTCGCGATCGTAGGCCGGAGCTACCTCGCCGCGTGCATGTCAGTGCCGCACTCTGAAGACGACATCGTTCTGTCGAAGGAAACCGCGATGGAGTTTATGCAGGTGGAGCACGTGCATTGCGACGATGGCTTGCGTTTGGTGGACGTTGAAGACGGCGCCCATGTTGCAAAGCATGTGTACGCCACACTGCGCACGGCCCTGGCGCAGCTGACGGCGTACGACAAGCCGCAGCACGGGGTTGGGGCTGAGACCGAGATTAGTCTCCTTGCACCACCAGGGGCGCCGTTGCTGAAGGACATTGTCACCAGTCGTGCAGTCTTTAACACGCTTTCCGCGTTCCTGGAACGCGATGACGATGAAGCAACAGAGCTGTGGACACGGCTTCTGCTCGAACCTTCCTCCACTGGAGGAAATGAGAGCGCCGACACCTATCCACAGCAGCAACAGCAACAACAAGTTGCATCTGGCAAACTCAACGCTTCTACTCCTCTCCCCTCTTGCGGGGTGGGGCTTCTCTCCACGGCACAGGGAACACGGCTCTTTAGAGTTGCGCTTGCGCATCCAAAGAGACGGGAGACACTGTTCCGCTTGCTCCTCGATGCAGCATCTCCGTCTGCTGTGGTAAATTCAACAACACCGTCTCCAACCTGTGCCGCGGAGCAGCTTTTAATGGCTCTGTTCTCCTGCTCCCTTGCCTCACGATTTGTCTTTGAGTGCTTTGGCCTGGTGGAGGGAACGACGCGCTGCGATGACGAGGTGGATGTGCTCTGTGCCGGTCTGGAGCGCCTCGCTCTGCGGGTTGTATGCAGCAATGGCGGTAGCTTCATGATGACCGCACTGGTTAAAGAACTCTGTCCAAGCCGCTTTGCTGGGGGACAGAAGACAGGCGGGAAACGTGGACGCGATACGGAGGCTGATCGCCAGCAGCAGCAGCAACAACAACAACAGCAGCGCGACGAAAATGATAACAACGAGCAAGGAACAAAGGAGGATGAACACAATAACGATGAGACGGGTGACCGGCCCCCGCACTCGCCCTTAACAAGGGCGAACTACCAGATGCAGGAGGGGCCGTCCGACTGGCGGCTGTTCCGCGCCGTAGCTCGGGCCTTCGTGTCGGGCCCCGTTCCCGGTGACACGGGCGAAGAGGCGGCGACGCTGTCTCGCCGAGTAAAGCTGTTGACGCAGCACGTCGTTGCGTGCCGCGCGATACAGAGCTTCATTCCATTCTTTGCCGACGCTATTGTCCAGGTGGGGATGGAGGCGCAGCAGTCACAGTCTGGCAACGGCGCTTCGCCGCAGTCGGCGCAGTTCTACGACGACTGTGTGAAGATCCTCAGCGAGATAGCGGGCCAGAACGGGTTGTTGGCGAACCATAGTTATGGGAACTACGTGCTGCAGACGGTCATTGATGAGCTGGCGCAACGCGCCGTTCCTGGGTCCCCCATTGCCGAGATGCTGCAAAACGTGTTCGATGCGCTGGCCAGTTCAATCTTCGATGTCAGCATTCAGAAATTCGCCTCCAACTGCGTGGAGACGGCGATTGCGGTGTGCAACACGCTCCCAGACGGCAACGCGCAGGTGCTGCGCTTCGCCACTGCTCTCCTCGGGGAGGGGCCAAGTAGGATGATGCACGTGGCGCTGCACCAGTACGGTAACTACGTGGTGCGCAAGATCCTCAACCGGCTGACAGCCCTGGCGACGGGCGCCGCGGCGGCGACACCGGCGGAGGTGGAGGAGGCGAGCGTGCTGGAGCTGCGGTACTTCCAGACGCTCACGCTGCAGTTCCACCAGCTGCGGCAAACCTCCTACGGCGCGGGGCTGCTTGGGTGGGTGCAGAACCAGCGCGACCGAATGCGCCCTGCGGCAGCACCAGCACCAACAGCAGCTGCCGCCGTCGCCGCTGAGTGACGAGGCCG